ATAAAATAATATCTTTTTCGTTATTTTTTTTTTTTTTATTCAAAAGAATTGACGGAACTTATTTCCATGATGTTAAAACAGTTATAAAAATGTTGTATTAACGCGATAAATTTATGCCTGAAGAAACAATATTTCATCAAATTTTCTTTTATAGATAAATTAATTTTCTTTATATCGTGACAAAATGAAAGTGTTCGTATAATATAATAAAAGACTTCATTTCACATGATAGTAAAATCGAACGGTGAATTCCCTGAGCGGAGACGTTAACTCATCTAATATGCGGGGCAGAACGGAGCAATTCGATAATAATCCTCGAACATAAGAATGCGAGGAAAGTAAAAACCCGGCATGTTCTCGAGAAAAGCCATTTCCTTCTATCCGCAAGAGGGGAGGAGGGGGGATGAAGAGAGGGGGCTCTAAGAGTGGTCGACTTTCCGAGGACACTCGCTCGGTCGGATTTTCTTCCTCTTTAACCACCCGCCGCCCCTTCTTCCCTCTTTTATTGCCGTACTCCTTGCGCGTCGGAGGAAGTCGAATCTCGGAAATGAATGTACTTTTCCTCGATGCACTCTGTGCCGTTGTCATGGTTACTTGCCAGGTCATACTGTATCCTGTAATCGCCGGGACTTTCCGCGAATGTGTCGCGAATCATATTAGGCCACTTCCGCGTAGGCCTTGTTACGAACTTGTATCTCTGACGTCAAGAGCAACTCGACGTCGATTAAGGAAAGTACGGTAGACAGCGCGAAGAAAGACATTCCTCGGAGTAATCGGATTTCCCATAAGATTGTTCGGTTTTTATTGCACTTTTAATGTCTCAACGGAGTAACTTTTCTTTTTGATTTATGAATTATAAATAAAATTGAGATAAAGTGCCTTCTTTTAACGAAATATAGAGAGAAAAATCGCTTCAAAATAAGCATTTGAAATAGAAATACTTTATTTTTTATATTTGATTGTGTACATGTGTATTATCTTAAATGTGTGTTTTACTATTAAATTTTGCTTCTAATTCTATGACAGTAGATATATAATTTCATGATCTTTATGTAATATTCTGTAAAATCTTTCTTGCAAACACAAGATAATATCAACCATCTAAGCTTCGTCTTTAATTATTCAAACGAAAAGAATGATTTTGGAATGATTTTTTTCGGAAATAATAATTAAAATTTTCAAAATAAATTAATAAAGGTAATTTGTGCGCATATGTTTTATTACAATCAAATTACATCGACATTTTAACTAACATTAAGTGATGAGATACAATCACAAAAAGCATACGTTTCGGTTCTTTTTTTTTTGGACCATCTTCAGTGCAATTACAAAGTATATGGAATATATTATATAAAAAATGCAATAGTAATAATACATAAAACAAGAGTGAGTCATCCATGTTGTCAGAAGGTAAATGTTATATAATGAACCTTCGAGACAGAAAGAATATGTATGATACATAAAAATGTATCGTGCGATATGAAAAGACTTGACATTCTGTCTCAAACGTTCATATGTAACATTTGCCTTCTGTACAACATGTGTGACTCACTCAAGTTCGGTATATTCGTATTGCCAATAGCTTTTTTAATGTAGTATATTTTATCAAACAGTCTTTTTCTGTCTCGGAGGTCCATTATATCATTTTCCTTCGAGACAGAATGTCAAATCTCTTCATATCGCACGATACATAAAGTATGTATATTTATCGTGCGATATAAAAAGATTTGTCATTAATGTAATTTAATGAGGATTGAGTAAGTTAATTTTTGTTTTTAACTAAGTTAAGTTTAAAGTTAGTGACCCAAAAATTAACTAAGTTCAGTTAAAAGTTATTAACTTTTCAACTTTTCAACTTTTTAACTAGTTACTATCCAACCCTGAATTTAATGTAGTATATTTTATCGGACAGTCTTTTTCTATCTCGAAGGTCCATTATATAACATTTACCTTCTGACAACATGGGTGACTCACTCTTGTTCTGCGTATTATTGCATTTTTGATATAATATATTCCATATACTTTGTAATTGTTAAAATGTCGATGTAATTTGATTGTAATAAAATATATGTGCACAAATTACCGCGCTGGCTTTTAATTGGAATTTTGTTTTTCTATGGGAAATAATATCAATCATTTTCTCTACTAATAATCTTCTTATCCTTTAACCGTAACTCGCGTTTACATAGTGGGAGTGTCAACCGCATAAAGGGAGCGGATTGAAGAGAGGGTAATTTCCTGGTGCTCTCTACTTGAGTGCTACCTCTGTCCGAACTTGTTCAACCATATCAGGTCCGTGGAAGTGACGAGCTTCAACATTGAATTCCTAGCTATTGTGAAAATTGTGTAATATAGCTATTTTGCTACTTTTTTATCGATTTACATTTCATATTTTTTAAGAAATATTTCTGATAAATTTATAGAAAGTAAAAAAAACTATTATGTAACAAAATAATAAAAGCGAATAAATTTTACACAACAGCTTTAATTTATTCTATCTCTCTAAATTCTATTGTATTCTTCATTTAAAGTTGTAACTTAATATATCAAAAAATATTATACACTTTTGAGAGAAATTTATTTGCCTTTAATCATTTTTATAATTAAATATAGCTAGGATTAATACGATTGTCATTTCTTATATTTTTTCCTCTTAATGATATCAATGCTCTTGATAAAACTGAAATTTCAGTTTACAAGTACGAGTCGATCTTATTATTCAACGCCATTCGTTTTCGCGGCAACTACAAGGAAGCTATCACCAAATGTAATGCATTATGTATGAAAGCAAGATACGGGCCCTATTGTTTTAGAAAGCATAGATCCAACCGGAAGAAAGTAGTGGCCATTGCGAAGAAAAATGACCTCTCTTTTTTATTAAAGTGTTAAACTAAAGAATAGTAGCAGTAAAAATATATCGGACGTACGAAAGTAAAATCGTGTATCATATAGGATGAATTTATGTTTATCTAAACATGTTACAATGTTGATATATTGCGTTTATTTTTCTTATATCTCTATTTATATTAAAATCATATAATAATTATAATTTATCGCGATTATAATTTTTTTATTTTAATTATACAATTATTATTAGATATCATTATTTACTGTATCATCATTAAAGGCAGATGTCATTTAGAATAGCAATTACGATGTATATAAAAATTGTGAAGAATATTTTTTTGCTATCAATTATTTTTTTCAAATAAATAAAATATTTTTTGTAAAGAGATAGAGCTTACTTTATTTTTTTATTACGTTTTTATATAATTTTTTACATATTACGTCTTTAATTAATGAAATTTTAGTATTCAAAAATGATAAATATTAATATGGAAGCACATATTTATTCCGGAAGAAATTAGCGGCTTGCGCTTAAAAAGCTAAGAATAAAAAGAATTGGACAAAAGTAGATCAATGGAGAGTCTGAAAAGAAGAAAACGTGGACAAGAGTATTCCATTAACTGGCAACGCAGAGTTTGCGTCACACATCGAGGTACTTGTTCCTTGATTCAAAAAGGGAACTTGTGAAAATTGAAAGATTTCTCCCAATCGCACTTGTAGCAAATTGCTCCTTATTTACTCCTTATTTATTGGTATCAATTGACTGATTGCCCAGCGCGATGTTCAATGCTCAATGTATTTATTGACCGTAGATCTTACGAAGGAATTAATGCAATATTTTTAATCAGAATCTGATAAAATAAATTTGATAATTAAAGAATTAAATTAACTTTTCATCTGGAATAACAGATTCGATTTTTTCGTAACGTTATAGTAATTTAAATAAAAAGCAAGATCGTTAATTTGTAATTAATAATGGTAATTTTCTGTGAAAAACTAGATATCTACTTAATGAAACAGATGCGAGATGATCTTGAAGTTTATAGCGTTACACGACAATTTTAATAAAATTATAACCTAAGTACTCGATGTATGCGCATCGAGATAATAATAGTGCAATGATAAATTAACGGTTGGTGCAAGCTGCAATTATCTATATCGACACTTAATGCCGATGAATAGTTCAGGGAAAAGAAGAGATATCAAATATTCGTGTATCCGTCATTGTCGTTAATGTCAAAAATGAAATATTAACCAAAGAAGTCTCTCCATGTTTTGAGTTTGCAAAAAGAAATATATGTAATACTGTATAAAAGCATCGTTCTCTTTTATGATACTGTTTTCATCATGCAAGGTTTGTTATGATATATAAATATATACATGTTGATATAATTTATTTTATTTATCTAATATCATTAATCTATTAATATCTCGAATATTTAGAAAATTTCTTTTTTATATACAATTTTAATTTTATAAAAATAGATCGTAATTAAAAGTATTTCTTTTTAGGTTTAGTCGATTCATATTTCGATCCGAAATCGTAGTGACACCGTCGCGGGGCAAGAAACGTACAACTAGGGAACGATCGCCTTTTTTAAGTCTAAGAAAGTTGTCGTGTATTAATTCGGAATGGAAACGGTGAAATATTATGCCAGATTCATAGATCCTCACTGGATAACTGTGGTGGCGACAGGATTATACACGCATCTTCGACACATTTGCATAATCGGGCTGTGTTTCGAGGAGGAAGAAACTCTGTCTTTTGATCCGTCATACGCGTCGATACTCTTTGTTTTCTCGGTTTTATGTTTGTTAGCGGAATACAGATTGTGGCCTGTAACTCTCAAAGAACCACCGATTCAGTTGCTGTATATTTACGAAGTAAGTCCTGAAGCGCTATTATTTTAAGATCATCTTATTGTTAGAGTTGATTTAAATAGGGAGTGGAAAAAAAAATAAAATAATTAATATATAAAAGAATAAAATATATATAAAGGGTAATTATGGAGTATAAAAGTAGTAAAATATTAAAATTGATTGATACAAAAAAAAAATAATCTCGTATTTTATCTCAATCAAGAATCATATTAATTGAAAGTCGACTTTATCATACAGATGTTGATAGCTGCATTGAGTACCAATTTAGCAATTCGTATGGTATGGATACCAATGATGCAGGCAATTTTCTGTCTGACTCAAGAATCTAGTAGATGGGTATGTAACATTCACAAAAGATGCTGTCGCTTTGTAATACTCGTAAATCATGATTTTCAATTTGTTCAATTATTTATAATTTTATTCTCATAATTCTTTCTTTAAAAATTATCTTTAATGACAAATATTGTATAAAACCATATGAAATTTTCGTTATTTGCTCTAAAAATATATAAAACTTCCACAATTCGAAATGCACTCTCTCTCTTCAACTGAATTAGTGACAGTGTCACTGATCAATGCAGTAATATTTCAATGAAAATACTCACGATTTGACAGAGAGATAAGATTTCATTGAAAAATGAACCATCACTATTTACAACTGAAATCACTGCTTATCAGTGATAATAAACTTATTTTATTTAAGAAAATACGCATTTTGTTTTAGTTGTTTTGGTTGAATGCCACGATAGGTCTGGATAGCTATTCTTGGTTGACTACAGTTGCAGATTACATGGCTACAGAAAATGCAGCGATGTACATGGCGTTTTGCATGTCGTTATTATCCTTCGTGTGGATGCTGGACGCCACCGAGTTCCTGGACACGTTTCTGGATACGTGGAGCAAGTAGTGAATCCTGACAACTTCAAAATCTTATTCGCAAAATTGTTATTGACATGTAATAAAACTATAATGCAATTTTTTTTCATTTATGAACATATACAACTTTTCGTCTTAACAAAAAAAAATTGCCTCTCTCCTATAGATACTTTAAGTCTTATTATAATATTTAAAACAAATATTAATTTATTAATTTCGTTAGAATCTTTCAACGAAAAGTTTTATCCACATTTTATTATTCGTATAAAATATCAAATGCATTATAAATTCCACAATTGTCTAATCTAATAACAATTTCTCTTGTTCTCCGCAAGACGTTTACAATTCGTGAATGTTGCAAAACATCGCAAAGGTAAAAACAAGAGGATTACATTCAGGGATCCTGAAGTGACCCAATCGATCTTTTATGGTGTTTGTCGAATGAATCCGTTTACGACAAATCACAAAAGTTACAGCTTCTACTAATCCGTTATATTTTTATTTTTTACGTCTTTGTATTTAATAAATATTAATTTGTAAATTTTCTTAAATTATTATATTTGTCAATATCTACGTTGCACATAAATATAAGAATAAATCACATTTCTCCATATTTTTTATCAATTTAACTCTAAACACATAAGTCAGAATTTATAGAAATTATATTAGCAATTTTTACAGTGGTATTATTTTATATGAATTTATATTTATTCTCCCGATTATAATTTAGTAATATTTTATGTGACAAATATATATATTTCGATAAATTTTTTTATTTTTTTATTTTGGAGAAATTTTCTGTTTGGAGAGTTTTATGTTCAACCAATGGAAATTTTAAAGCTGACTTCATATCATAAATGCAATTGAAAAATTTTTGCTCTCTTCTGAAAACTAATATAATTCATAAATTAAATCCGAATGGCTACAGAACGATTATTTGGTATTATTCTACAACATGGTGCGATTGCTGTATACGATATGGGCATTAATGCTCAACAGCTTAAAAATATCGATATTTCAAACATGCTTCGCTAACGCTATGGAAGATGAATACGGTTATCCTTTAATATCAAGTCCACCGATTACCACATTTTTAATCGCAACAAGTATCTACGTTATCGTCGTCAATTCCACGATATTTCCGCAATCTTTTCGACAACCAAAACCCATCTTTATGTGTTTGTACGAGGTTAGTGTGACGATGAGAATGCTATTTCGTTATCCTTTTTTCGTTATTTTAAATTGATTTTTTTTTTTAATATTTTCGATTGCAGTTTCTAGTAACAGCGTTCTTTTTGGAATTTGCAATCGCCTGTTTATGGACGCCGATAGACGTACTCATCTTAAGCACGTTGCCAAAGAATATTTGTCATGTAACGTAATGATGTCTGCCCTTTTATTTTTATTTTAATAACATAATATTTTATTAATAAAACGCCTCTTGGTGATATGCTTAAAAATCTCTGCTTCAAATTAGAATACTTTGTGCATTTGTATACATGAAGATTTTAATTAAATTTTTATAATTAATTCATGCAAAAGTTTATACTCACTAAAACTTAACTTGAGCAGACACTTAGTCGATTGGGATTGGAAAATGCAGCCCAAGTATTGAACGCGAACAAATCATCCATGACGATTTTTACAAATGGAATAGCAACAACGATTCTTTTTATTACTCTTCATGTTACAAGAGCCGTCGATTTCAAGGAGCTTACGTGAGTTGGGAAAAGTTTTGTTCTAAAAGTTTTCCTGTTATCAGTATTATAGCATAAATATTGCAGAATCCGTATCTATTATTCTGAAAATTACTAAGTCAAACGTTGACGCTCTTATTAAAAATTGCTCTATGAATTTGGATTTATATTGTTTCAAAAAATAAGCGGTTCACGCAACGTAAATTAATCATAAATTTAGGGATAACGGAATAATGTATTTCCTATCGCACTTGAGAACGAAACTGTGGCAACGTATACGGAGCGAACTTCCAGAAGCTAAGAATAACAAAGAAAATAAAGGTCGTCGCAAAACAATCGCAGAAAAAACTGTAGTAAAAAATCGTGCGAACAATCAACGCAGATAGATCTTTAATATCGTTAAAAATTCTCGCCACGGAAGATGGAAATTATACTCTAATCGAGGTTCTTTCTAAATCTATAACGATGCAGAAAGGGATGATATAATTTCGATCTAATGGAAATAAATTTGCTTTCCACAACATTATCATTCCATCAACCGTTTTATGAAAAAGAAGGCATTTATTTCGTTCGAACTGAAGTGTAAAGTACAAATGGTATAGATAATATAGTGGTAATAATGTAATAATTATAATCGTTAATAAATATCAATTTAATTAATAATACGGTGTGTCCCAGTATATACTGCAGGTTATTAATATTAATATTATTATAATTATATATATATGGTAATTGTACTAATGGGATGTGTTCAGTGGCAGCGTTACATTATGTAGTAATATGTATATCTTACAGTGATCTCTCTCTTTTCATCGACCGACAGATAATGCCATTTCTCTTTCTTTTTTTTTTTTTTTTTCGCTCTACGATCATTGTCTATGCTTCGCTTCGAAAGGGCACTATAATCCATGAGATTATGAAAGAACATCTCTCGTAAATATTAATAAATTGCTTGGAATTATAAGGGTCGATTGTCTTTCGAGCTTCATTTTTTAATGAATTGTTTTCTTTTTTAATATCGCGCAGTGCAATATTTTAATAAATTAATTTTTAATCTCACCAACTTTTTTCTCTATGCAGAATATATTTTTCGCAGATGTGTCAATGCGTTTTGCATCTGTTTCTTTTCTTGTATGATAAAAATCTAAGAGAAAATTTAAAACAGATCAAGAAAAAAAATTTTTGATATTATACAGGGTGTCCCCAATTTAAATGTCAAAACTTTAGGAGCGTGTAGGGGACCGATAAACTAAGACAAAAAGAGATTTCCTTTAGAGATTTGCTCGTTTTTGCTTCGTTTTGAAGAAAATCGCAAAAAATGAAACAAATAATTTTCACCAAAAAACTTAAAACAACACTAAAATTATTAATTTATCAAAAAGTATTATAAAATAAAAATTGTAGAACATGGAATTAAGAAAAGAGAGTGAGTTGAAATCCTCCTGAGGTAAAATTAGAGGATTGCAGATAAATACGCGACAACGCGAAATTTTGTTTCTAAATCTAATTTTACCTCAGGGGGATTTTAACTCACTCTCTTTTCTTAATTCCATGTTCTACAATTTTTATTTTATAATACTTTTTGATAAATCTAATAATTTTAGTGCTGTTTTAAGTTTATTGGTGAAAATTATTTGTTTCATTTCTTGCGATTTTCTTCAAAACGAAGCAAAAACGAGCAAATCCCTAAAGGACTTTTTGTCTTAGTTTATCGGTCCCCTACACGCTCCTAAAGTTTTGACATTTAAATTGGGGACACCCTGTATATAAGAATGCAAAAATAAAATTATTATAGACCATCAAAGTTGCATTTATTTTCATATAAATTTAACGTATTATGCAATTCTAGATGCCTTGAGTTTATTTCAAAATTTATGCAATTAATGTTTGAATCTTGGAAGCTGGATCGAACAATACAAATCGCGGAAACTGTATTATTAGATAACCGATTCCGTTTTTTATTTTTTACATCTGTCACAATAGAAAAAATTCTTTCGGCCTCAGCATTTGAGTGTGGAAGAGAGAGAATTACTTCAATTAATGATTCTAAGTTAGGAAACATCTTTAGTCTTAGTTTATCGGTCCCCTACATGCTCCTAAAATTTTGACATTTAAATTGGGGACACCCTGTATATTAGGTGTTCATTTAATTTTTATAAAAATAATAATTTAATTTTTAAATAAACATTTAAAAAAAGGTGAAAACAGCTATCTAGAGCCAAAGCCTACGAAAAATTAATGAAAACGAGGTGTTCTTTCTTGCTCTCCATGAGATTTGATGAAACGGACTAGTGCCTCTTCAATTTTTACGTCTTTTTTTTTCTCATCTGTCTCTCTCATCTCCATCTCTTTGAAACTGTGAACGGAATTTGGTTACATTAATTATATGTACGAGTTTCACTCGCGCTCGGCCCTATAGTACCCCGCTTACAAAGTATATCTTTGTGCACGATTGGGCAGTGCTCAGAGAAAGGGTTGAGGATATGTAGGATGAGCGTAATCTTTCCTTCTTTTTATATTTCGCGAGGAATGGAGGTGTCGAGAAGAGTAACACCGATTTCGATAAAATTTAATGTAAAATGAGATCTTCTTTTAAAAAATTCCGTAAGTACGTACTTAGACGGTCAATTCCCCTGTATTACAAAAGGGAACATTCGAACTAATTCGCGCCTTCGTTTACAGTGCCAATTTTCTGGAATTACATGTACGAATCAAGCAAACATAGAGCCTAATCTAACGACAATAAATAACTTTGAGCCGAATCTTTTTACTATTAATTACATTAATCGCAACGAGATTGCGTTTTGGAATGGATTTGGGGAACGTGTCGTTACTTTAATTTTTCTTCTTTCCTTCCCTCCATTATTTTTCGATTCTTTTATTTTCTTTCGATTTTTCTTTCTCATCGTAAATCTTCAACACCGTTCGTTAAAAGTAAGTACGAGTAAAGTCAGTCGGTCGCAAATGAAATTGTGTTTCTTGTCTCGCGGATTCTCTTTCTTGATTTATGGACTTCTTGAAGAAAGATCTCACGCAAAAATTGAAACCGATATAACTTCGGCGAGTTAAATTTTCAATGCCACAGACACTTTATACGCATAATCGTCGACTTTTATAAGTGACATATAATGTTACATAATCTTATATATAGATACGTGAGTTATATATAGTATAAATTATTTTAGATTATCTTTTTTTCGTATGTCTACCATATCAAAATTTGAATTTATTGCGAGATTCTACTGAAATAATTTAAAAACATATTATGAAAATATTTAAAGGAGACATTGTGTGTAAAGATACCCAAAAGATGTATAATATTAATCTTTCAGAGGCGTGTATTTTAAATGTCTTTAAGATATATCATATATGTTTATTGATATACCGGTTTCAATCTCTGCATTCCTTCAACTATACTTTGAAACTTTATATTCCATCTCTTGCTATCGTCGCGCTAATCCTTCGCGAAGTTTTTACGCAGAATTCTCGAGGTGTACGGGTCGAGCGAACGGAGGAGACTTCGAGCCTCGTCGACGCACAGACACGCAATCAATCGCTATCGCAAGTTTTTGCGTAAAACGAAAAGGCTGTTTCGGGATGTGCAAAATCAACTGTAGTATCAATTTATACGAAAATTTAGTTATGTGAAATCTGCTTAGAACAATTCACTCCAGAGATCGAAATTGACATTTAACGACCGAAACATTTTTCTTGTATTTAGATTAATTGAGATCTATTATTTTGGATAATATGTTTAAAATAAAAGGACCAGAATTTTTACTTTTATCTTGATCCTCGAGTCGAACGAGCGATCGATCGCATATCATCGACGTGTTTATTCGTATAATCAGGCTGTCTTTCCTTTTTTTTTTCTTTTTGCCACTGCACACACGCAACGCGCACTCGCGCGCTACTCAATACAGTTACTCAACGATAATTCTTTCGTCCTTCAATAATAATCCCCATTCAAATACTATCTCTGCTTAGAATCTACTTTACGGGATCGAGCACATGATAAGGAATGGATAGACTAAAGAATCTAGGATGAACGGTGGGCTTCGATGAGTCGGGCGTGCGGGCACCGAGAGATCATGACAGTTTTTTAAATGATGAACATCGTATATATACAAAAGTCATAAAATGTGTACGATTATAACTAATTAAAATTTAATATATGGAAAGATTTTCGGCGATTTTTTTAAAACTCCCAAAAAATAAGCTAGTTATCTTGAAAAATAGGTGTAAATAAACCTTATTGTCAATTTTGATGCATTGAAATATATATTTCCCTTCTTTACGCGAGATTCCCTCTTTATGCAATCAAATTTTATTATAAACTCACGTGTCAAGCAAGCTCAAGATGACAAACTACAATTAAACACGTGAAACTAAAATTGTATCTATTGCTAGTGAACTTATTGCTCGCAGTAGAATTATTGCCGTATCATAATGCAAGTGATAAACTTACGTCGGATATTCGTTGTAGTTCGAAAAAAAATCTATTTCTATATCAAAATTCTATCACATTAAGCCACGCATTAATCTTCACGTTTTACGTAATCTACTCGCCAATTTAGGAACAAAGAAATTGGAAATTGCAGCAACTATTTTATAGTTGCCCTTGAAACTGGTTATTACTCAAACATTATAAATGTCTAAAAAAATTCTCTTTTGCTTCGTTGGGTGCGTCAGAGCTCGGTGCTCGCAGTCCTCGGGAGCAACGATTGTACGCGGTGTGTTTAGATAGGTAGATATACGCAACTTAATATCACAAATTCGTTGAGAAACCATACGCAAACACGATCATTGGTAGGACAGTTATACAGCGTTGCGCAGTGACGCAGGATACTGCGCGCGCCGGCACACTCATACACATGTTAATTACAATATTCGTACAAGTGCTTACGACGTACATCTTTATAACGCCATCTCTCTCTAACTGGTAAATTGACTATTAATAATTCCCGTTGAGAATTTTACAGGTTTCAGTCGGGGCTCGGTGCGTGGAAAGTCCTTTCCGCGAAAGGCGCGACGACATAATCGAACGTGCACGAGGACTTCACGTCGAGTCTCGCCTCGTGTTACGGATCTCTTTCTTAGATCGATTGTTCACTTATATTTTCGGCGCACATACACAATCGATACTTCTAATTGTCTAATTTATCGAGGTAAAAAAATTCGAAGTATCCTTCTTAATTCGCCAATTAGTTCACATTCAATTTGATTTAAAAATCGTATTGACATCAATAGTTTTTTTCATATATTGATTTTCATCTTTTTTAAATCACAGTTTTCTAAGTAAAAGAAAAAAAAAAAAAAGAATTTTCGGCAATTTTTCGAAAATTCATAAAAAATCTGGTAAATCTTAGAAACTTTATAATTTTAATATACAAATGTTATTTTTCGTCCCTCATATAAAATCCAAATGCGGGAAAATGTTTAGGAAATCCAGTCTACATCGAAACGATGCATCGTCGACACGTTCGGGATGACTAGAATCCGAAATCCTACCACATTTCTTTCTCCCTCTACCCTTAGCTCCCTCCTCGTGCACGCGTATCTCGTATACCCCGTCGTGCCGTGTTCTTTCGCACTCCGAATTCTCTTATATTTCCCCTCTCTTCGATGACGTAAAATAAATATTAAAACTATTTCGAGATATATCAACGTGAGCATAGTTTACTGGATGCGTATCATCTCATTTCTCGTGTTGTCTGTATGTTCGTACGTGTCCTCTGTCTGTATGTATAATATATATTTGTATTTATATTTATATTTATATATATTTATATATATTTGTATTTATACTTAGACTTTTTATGTCCGCTATATTAAAATTATAATAATTACATTACGCGCACGGTAAACTCGTGCTTTCTCTCTGTCAACGCAAGTTCCTTTTCCCTCTTTTCTTGGACTTTCTTGTTAATCATTCTCTTTTTTCCGCTTCGTCGTGCGCTCTTCTCTCTCTCTATATATATAAATATTTATAATATATATTATAATATTTAATAGTATATAATACTATCACTAATGAGGATGGCGATGACGATGACGATGACGACAATGAGCCGATGTCGCGACAACTAATGTATACCTTAACGTTAATCCCTATTATAGCAGACTATCTACGGTAGGATCGTCCGTCACGAACGAGAGTGCGTTACTTTTAGAACTCCTCCGCGTTCAGGACAATGAAATGTACTCATCGAGGATACGTCCTGCGGGACTCGTGCAGAAGAACAAAGAAATGAAAAATTCACGCGACGGAAGCCGTCGAATCATAACACGCCGAGAGAACGATATCGTGTTAACGTGTGCATGTGTCTCGGCCTATGTGTATGTATGCATGTGTGTATGTGTGTGAGAATGCCCTTGATTAACGCCGTTACAACACATTTAACGCGTTCGTCCAAATCGCGACGATAAATAAATAAATAAACGATTCCGGTTGCGCGAGAACGACACGCTGATCTAAGATCCAACACTGATGACAACAACGCGATATACACCTACACGTATATATGTATATATAAGTGTACGCACGCGGGGGAGTAATTTACCCCGATGGTGACCGATGAGCGAGGAATTGATGCAATGAGGGGGTGGGGAAATCTGTTAGAAAAAGTCTCGTCGCGTATCTTTGGATATTTCACTACGTTTTACGTTACATAACGTACTATACAGATAGGTATGCTGCGACCTTTTTCTCTCCGCCTTTTCATTAACCATCTCTACCATTAACCATCTCAGCATTATTGCAACCTTCGTTTTCCATCCCGAGTATGTATGTATGTGCGTGTGTTGTGTGTGTTTTTGTGCACGCACCGCGGATGACATGACGGGTGACGTAACATTTAACGTCGCATGTCATAGTACTTTCACTAACCGCACAACTATGAGAATGCTGCCATTTCTCGTTCGTCGAGAATTTATCACTCTCGGCGAAGGACGCGTGTATCCCTCGGGATCCTCCGAATGTTCGTGATAGATCCCTGGCCATCCGACGTGACAGATCAAGTCGCCTTGATCAAGATCGCACGAGCACTTATTCGGATGATATGGATCGCGTGACTCGGTGTAGTGTGATGTAGAGACTCGGCTGTATTTTTGGACGTTAATTTAGTCTTCTTCCTCACTCTCTTCCGCAGGACCGTACATGTCAGCCAGTTTATCGAATCTCGGACCCCAGGCGCCTAAATACTCATACTCGTGTTGCTCATCATCTGTACCTGCATTATATCAATTTATTTGTTATAAATGCAACAAAAAGATTAAAATTTTTAAAAATAAAAAAGAACAGGAATCTTTCAAAAGAGATAATAGTTCCTTCATAAAATGCTCAAAATGAGTATTTTTCAAAAATTCTCTTCTTCACATACCGGAGGCTAATGATTCCAGAGAACCCGCGGTGCTTCCGCCACCCTCGTAAGCGTAATTCCGCAAATCGTCAAAAGGCGGTGCATTCGGGTCACTGTCCGCCCTCTTCTTATGATCCTCGATAAAGATACCGACATTCGGCTCCGGTCCAAGTGGATCTAAAGAAATGAGATTCTCTCATCGATTATCAGTTTTTGTAAGTCACCTCGCTTTGCAAGCAATAAAAAGTATGACACGTACAGGCTACTTTACACGGAGGTATCTTGCCGCCCATTTCCGGTATCGGGCCACCAATCGGGATCTGCAAGGGCGTGATATCGAATGCGGTCATGTCATCCTCTCCGCCACCCTCGTCATCGTAGTTGATAATATTCTCCCTCACGTCATCGTCCGGGCCAGGATACTTTATGTGAGCTTCTCGTCTTCTGTTGTAGACGACGAATACCAACACGAGAACTGAAATATCGATAAAATAATTCATATTATTAAAGTTAAATGTGCAAAAAATTCATCATTCTATCAAAGTAATACTTCTCTTTTAATTCAAGGAGTTCAAGCAAGTGCAAAGTGTGTAACAAAGTCCAGTGCGCAAAAAAGTTTTACAATGTTGCAATGTACAAAGCAGGTATCAGTCTTGTCAGTTGAAACTTTTTTTTTTAAACGAAAGCTTATTGAAAAAAAGATTTTAAAAAATACAGTTTTCATTAGCACGAGACAAAAATTAAAGCAGTTTTTAAGTGCAAAGAGAAAATGGTGTAAAAGGAATAAAATAAAGAAACATAAACTTTCGTAATGCAACTTGTTTTATTTTTCGATCAATCAGCCGGCTGTATGTGTGCCGCAAATATGAGAACTGAAACATAAGTGGACGTGCTCAAACATAAAATAAGAGTTTTATATATTTACAAACATAAAATATTAAAAATATAAAAAGCATGCGTTAAACTATGTATTTAGCGTTCAGAATATTCGATAATCGATCAGTTTGAATATACTAACCAAGAATAATCAAAAGACAGACAAGAATGGCCGCCAGCGCGCCCATACTGAGCTTGAGCGTTTGGCCTTCTTGCACCAGTTCGCAGTTTTCGCCCCAGAAACCATCGGGACAGATGCATCGATATCGGTATCGCGGATCCTGATTGATACATCTGCCACCGTTCAGGCAAGGATAGTCGATGCACTCGTTTTTGTCCATGCATCCTTTGTTATCCGGCGACGGGATCCTTCCTTCTCCGCAACTGTGCGAGAAAAGAACAATATAATATATCAATCGTTCGAAAAATAAAAGAATAGCGTAAATAATACTCACGTGCAGTCGTATTCGTTCCAAAGATCCATGCACTCGAAAGGATCTTGACAAATGACGTTGGCGCACGGTTTATTCGATGGACAATTCCTTTCCAAGTTTCGCGCCATCGTTGCTTGACCCCATTGAGTACCGTTCATAGCGGGAGGTAGTGGGAGATGTTTTCCTTCTAATCTTATATCG